CAAACACGAAGTGTTGGGAGCTTTGCAACTGATGGTAGGAGTTGTCAAGAGCTGTTGTCAACACAGCGTACAAGATGTGCGTGAACCATCCCCAGCAACTGTTCCTTCCCAAGCCAGCTCTTCTGACAAGCCAGAAAGCACACGGAGCTGCCTTTCCCGGCACAGATCTCCGCTGCTGAGGATGAAACGAGAGCTCACCCCGCTGTCAGTTTGAGTGGCGTTGGGTTGGAGCTGGAGAAACACCTCCGCACACGCACGCACCTGCTCCCACACACCCTGGCTCAGCCCCAACCATCCCCACGCCGCCTTTCACGTTCAAGGTTGAGTAGGTTTTGCTGCTGGGACACATCTCGGTGCCCAGGATCAGGTTGGGATGGCCAAAGCTTGCTGGGGACCAACAGACCCACTGGTGGGAGCAGGTGGAGTGGCTGGTGCTGGCTGGCCATGCCCATGAGGACACAGCAGCTTTGTTTGCCCGTGTGTGGTGTGGGAGGCTCCCCCAGCTTGGCACCAGAAGGTTAGTGATTTTTAAAAGACTATTGTTTTCACCCCGTGTGTTTGGAAAAACAAGGGGTGAGCTGTGTGGGTGAGAGCCACCCTGGCTTCTTCTGCCTCCAGTTTCTGCTGCCACGGGCAGCTCCCTGGCTGCAATCCTGCCCCCACAACCTCCTCCTTCCCTCTGAGCTTGGGTCAGAGTCCTCATTCCCTCACATCTCCCCTTTGTTTCTTTCCCCATTCTTCTCTTAGCAGGAGAGGTCTCTGCTGTGTCCCGCACCACCACCAACAGCAAAGCAGAAACACACAAAGGTGTTTTCCCAAAGGTAAGACTTCTCCAGCTTTAGCCTTGTGTGGGCATCTCAGTTTTCATTGTGGTAAACCAGTGACCAGGTCAAAGCTGGTTGCCCTCATCGCTGCAGAGCCTGACCCAAAGATTTGCTATGAGATGCCTCAGCAGCCATGGGGATAATGACCTAAATAACAGAGAACACCCAAACATATTTGGAAAAAAAAACCCCACATGTGCTTTGAGTTTTGGTTTGTGGTGTCTTGAGCTGGGATCAGCAGGATCTCCAAGGGGTATTAGCTTGGCTTCACCTGAGATGCAAAACACATGTGTCCTTTTCTTTGGAGAGCTAGCTTCGGGGTTTGTCACCCCTGGTTTTTACTGCTATCAAATGCTTGCATAACAAGATTTATTAAACCAAATAATTTCTGTATAATAACGACAGGAATGCAGATTTCCTCTGCTCAGCTGGGGCTCGTTGTGAGTATGCAGAGCAATTAGAGGTGACTCACTTTGGCCAGGATCCTGAGAGCGCTGGCCCGCTCCCTAGGATGCAGGGCACAAGGTTGGCTTCATGATGACGCCGAGAAAACTGGTGTTTATCTACAAATAATGATTTTTTTGCTGTAACTGGATTACCATGGAGGGTGTTTCTCCTTTGGAGGAGTTGCAAGGTCATGTCTCGTTATGTAAAGGACCAAAACAGCACAGGGCTGTTGCTAATTGGCAAAAATATTTAAGTTTCCCACCTGGAGCTGGTTGAGTTTGCTGATGAAGTTGCAGGCACCTCAGCTGCCCACCAGTATGGAAGCTGGGGAAGGACCATAGCCCCTGGAGTGGATGGCTGGAGGAGCTACTGGAACCTCAGCGCTGGAGGATGCTCTTCCAGGGAGTGAAGGTCAGGAGCAGGTTAACACCCAGAAGGTGTTTCCTAGGTGTGGGTAAGGTGTTTGGTTTGGCTTGTCTCGTAGCTCCCTTCCAATGGCGGGAACAAATATTTCCTCAGTATAATGACTGGAATGATGAAAATTCTCTGTCTTGGTCCTCAATGATGAGTAGTTTCCTGGTCCGTGTCCTCAGCTTGCGCACAGATAAGGTCTGTAATGCTCTTTGATTAAGATAACAGGGACCCAGATTTGTCCCTGATCTTGACAGATTTTAATCTCATGATCCAGTTTCTGGGCTGAAGTGGTTTCACACAGCAGCACAGGGACGTTTCTTAAATCAAGGTACTGTAACTACATGTCTTTAAGTCTCTCTTAACTGCTGATGGTGAGAGGAACAGTCTCCAAACCTGCCATAAAGCCCTGCTCCACCTGGGGCAGGTGGCTGAAGGGTGGGAACATCTGGCCTTTAACCCTGAGGAGTTTTTCCCGGTGTGCAGCTGCTGTGTACTCTGCTCTAGCCTGACAGATTTTGCAGTCAGGTCCAGGGTGGGGAACTTGACCAAAGCTTTTCTTCTCTTTTTTCTTTTTTTCTTCTCTTTTCTTTTCAGTGGGGTGAGGTATGTGAATAAAAACACTGAGACTTTGGATTTATGGGGTCAGGCTTTAAATGCAAACAGGTAAATCAGGAGGAGGTTTCCTGAGGGGCAGACTGAGCCCTGCAGTGGCACCAGGAGCAGCTCTGAGCAAAGTGCTTGGACAAATCTGGTGTCTCCAGAGCTGTAGACAGTGCTCTGATCTCTTGCATTGCTCCTTAGAGCCATGCTACTCATCTTTTGTATCTGTGCAAACATGGGAGGAGAATCTCTTTGTTGTCTTCTTGCTTTGGCCAGACCTTCCTTCCCTTCTGCCTGCAAAGTGTAGGCTTGAGGACACAGCCCAGACCTTGAGTTTTGGGGAGAACTTGAGGGCACAGACACCGGTCTCTGGCTCACTTGTGCCAAAGAGGCTTTTTGTGATTTACAGCATATTGTGCTGAGTGAGTTGGCAGATGCTCTGAACTGGCAGAGAAGGAGGGAGATGGTCACGTGGAACAAAACACCGTCTCCTGGCAAAAGGAAGGAGAAAGTCCAGTCTGTGGGTTTACCCGCTGAGTGCCATACGGTGCTGAAAAATCATCCTGTGGAGAAGTATCTGGTAATCTGGTTGAATGGTATTAACTATACCAGTTTCCAGTAAGTGTTGTTGCTCTAAGTGCTACCTGGGAATGCCTTCTCCATGCCACCAAAGTAGTAGTTATTTAAATAATGTCAGAGGCTCTTTGACCCCAAAGCGTGTGGGGGTGAGGGGAGGGCACGAGTCACAAAGAAAATAGCGCTGGTTTCCTTCTTGTTCAACCTTTCACATTCTCCACCTTTTAAATAAAAATGAATATTAATAAATCCAACAGACCTTAAAAAACCCCCCTTAGAGTCAAGTGCCAAGGGGAGTGAGGCCCTCAAAGGAGAATGTCCAAAATAACTTGGTCGTGAAAAGAAAACAGCAGCAATGTTGAACTGATGAGGAGTGATTGAAACAGCAGCCTTGGCCTTTGGAGACCACTGGCATTAGAGAAGGTCTAATTGAAATCACCAGTCCTGCATCTTATAGCAGCCTCCCAGTACCTGAAGGGGCTACAAGAAAGCTGGGGAAGGACTTTTCCTAAGGGCAGTTAATGACAAAACAAGGGGAAATGGGTTTAAACTGAAAGAGGGGAGGTTTAGATGAGATATTAGGAAGAAATTCTTCACTGTGAGGGTGGTCAGACACTGGAACAGGTTGCCCAGAGAAGCTGTGGCTGCTCCTCCCTGGAAGTGTTGAAGGCCAGGCTGGATGAGGCTTTGAGCAACCTGGTCTAGTGGAAGGTGTCCCTGCTGATGGCAGTGGGCTTGGAACTAGATGATCTTTAAGGTCCCTTCCAACCCAAACCATTCTATGATGTGTGTTTTCTCTTTAACTCTTGGCCACTTCTGTTTGCTTTTCACTGCTACCAAGTCACCCGTTCTGTGGCTGCGCTGCGATTGTTTAATTGCAGTTCTGACTGTTCACATTAAATGTCAAGTGTCAAGCAACCCTTAAGTAAACGAGAGCTTTCTAAACACCACCCCAACCATTTGTTTCTGTTTTCTGAAGCCTTTAGTCTGGTTTCTGCCTCGCCTTACGCAGCTATAAGCAAGTCAAAGTACACAGAATGATTCCTATTTCACAGCACAAGTAGGATCAGACCGAAGCTCCAGGGACAGCAGTTTATCTTCCCAGAGTAAGCACTTGTTGTTCTAACATGATAGCAAATTAATTCCAAAGGTAATGTGGTACCATGTAATTGAGAGTCCCCTGAGCTGGTACCAGAGTCTATTTTAGTCAAGCACTCTGCAGACCAGTGAGGATGTCATTGCACCAGCAGTCATGGAGATTTAGGGAGTCCTCGCTTGCTTTGATGGTTTGTGTCCTACACCCCTGTGCTGCTGAAGATCTCTCTCTCTTATCCCTGAAAATCAGTGCAATAATAAATTTATTTCCTTCTCCCCCACGATACCTTCCTGCATTCTGATACTACTTGATATCAGGTGGGCCAAAGGCTCTGGGTGCTGTGGTTGTCCCAAGGTTGATCAGATCTTGGTAGGCAGAGAGAAAAAAAGTTGTGGAGAGGATCTGCAGCCCTTCTCCCATTTGGAATACCAATTTGAGGTATTTCCTCAGCCCAACCATCAATTTTTCATGGAATTTAGAAGCGGCTACTTGGCTCTGAGATCTCTAACATACTGTTGGACAGGACTGAAGCAGGCTAGCAGCTTCCCATCTTATTCATGCCTGTTGTTGAGCTGGGGGTTTAAAAGCTCAGGAGCTAGTAGCATACAAAATTTGGCTCTCAGAATTCCCTTGAAACATTCTTTTGAGTGAGACAGGGAAAAGGAGTGAAGTCTCCAAGCTGCTGCAAAGGCAGTCGGGGGTGCCTGGGGGGTCAGTGCCATTTGGGGCTCCAGGAGTCTGTGGGAATCAGGTGTGTGTGCTGGGGGAGAGGGGCTGTGTGCTGGCCAGGGGGACCTGCAGGTACATGGGGTAACTCTTCCCAACCTGGCCGTGCTCTCTCATTGCTGTGGCAATGCAAACTGTGCAAATGTGCAAAATGTGAGTTGTGGTGTAAACCCTATTTCTGCAAGGTTCAAAGATATTTGATCAGAAGAAACCTGTTTATTGTGAGGTTTATCATGTGGGAATCAGGTGTATGAGCGATCAGAAGAAACCTGTTTATTGTGAGGTTTAGGAAAACAATTTTAATGTAAATTGCTTTTGGTGGATACAGAACTTAGAATTACAGTTTTAAGAATACAAATACACAGTATCTCGTTCAACAAACACAAACCAAACTTATTCCCCGAGGAACATTAAAAGAGCAAATGTTTGTTCAAATAAATGGGCAACAAACATGGGATGGGGGTGACAAAACAAAACAACTCAAGTTGGAAGCCAAAACCCCACTGAAGAAGCAGCAGTCACATCTTCAATTTTATGCTCAGGCTGTACTTTCACTTTGCTTTTCCTGTTCGATAGCTGCCAGAAAAAGAGAGGAAACAAAAACATCACCAATAAACATTATAATGATTTTGCAGGATACATTTCTATGGCTACTCTTACAGCCAGGGGATGGTAAGTCCCCATTTGCTTTCTTTGGCCACCCTGGAAATGCCAACCCATTCCCACGTATGTGTAGCCAGCAGGGTGCAGTTCATGATGTGCAAAATTCCTCTTGTATTACAGCCTTAGCATCACTAGGGATAATAAAACAGGGAAAAAACAGGTATCTTGCATCAAGGGACAGTGTGTCTCCATGGCTATCAGTACTGACACATCCCGAGTGGTTAGTGATGCTCTTCTGAAGGAAACCACTCACAATGTCTGGTCCAAATGCAGAGAAATGCCATTTTCACACCTGAATTTGTATGTGAATCACAACCCTCATCTGGCTGCCTGCACAGAGCACGTGTACAGGAGAAGACTCCACATGAGAAAAGCCCAGTGGTGCTTTGCCAAGGAAGATGGCCCGTTAGACAAGAACGGTGATGGGATTCTCTTGAAGTCTTATTCCCAGAGAAGGTGCCTGGAGCTCTCCTGGCCAGGGCTGACAGCAGGTACCAGTGTGGGGCAGCAGCTCATCTGCCTGATAACATGTTAAATCCAGAGCCCAGGCACCTTCTGGGGGTGCTGCCAGGGGTGTGCGAGAGTTCCCCTGTGCGTCTGTGCCTCCCAAGAGACTGCTAACACGGTAATTACAAACAGTTTGATCCTGTTACCTGCAACCAGTAGAAAAACTGGTCTTACTTTTAGCAGAAGCAAGAGCAATCCCATCAGAAAGGATTTTTTCAGACAAAATGCACCATTGGTTATAATTATTGGTATCCTTGGAAGACCAGCATAGAGTAAGTGTTAGTATTATCCTCACTTAAAGTCAGGGATGCGTTTGAGCCTGTAATCCTATGATTAGTATTCTTTTTGCATATGAACTGCAATACAGATCGTGTCCTTGCTACTCATAGTTCAAATATCCTCATAAGCACTTACTTTCTTTAGTGGGCAAGGGATTTTTCTCTCTGGTTTCTGTCTTCTTCAGCTTGGTTTTGTCAAACGTTTCAATTTCTGCAAAATCTGGTTTGTCAGACATGATGGGTCCTGACAAAGAAAGGAAAAACACACCCGTGGCTTCATTAGCTAGTGCTGTGATATCAGCCATCTGCAAAGCATTTTCTGCTTAAAAGAAAAAATAGGCAAAGACTATAAAAATAGTTATTAAAAAAAAAAAAACCCCACAAATCTAACACCTCAATCTGGGACCTCTCCCCGAAGCTTGGCTCTTTCAGAGCAAAAGAAGAAAGGCATAAAAAGAATTTTACCTAGATTTTTCAGACTAAATTTGTAAAAATCATATTTTGCACACAGAAATAAGAATATCTCAGTAAAGGAAAGACCATGCATTAATTGCCAATAATCCATGGAGCCTCCTGATGTAAACCTCTATTTTAAGGAATGCTGCTAACCAGAACATCTACAACAAACCCCAAATCCAATATGAACAAATCATTCAATTATGATTTTGTTTTAATTAACAGCATTTGTCTTTTAATTCTAAGCACCCCGTCCTGAGTTCCTACAAACCCTGGTATCTGGCTGAGCTGCTGTGGACACTTGTGCTTAACAATAGAGGACCGGTTCACCCAGCCCTTTGTTTGCTCTCGCACTCAGTATCCCAGTCGCAGGCTCAATGGGTTTGGATTAAACTCTATTATAAAAGAAATCCAACAAAGCACATCAGCATTCAACACTTCACCTGCCAAAACTTCCCTAATCCAATTCCTGTTTCTAACAGAAATTCAAGTTAAAATCCAGCCTGGATGTTATTCCCTCTTATTTCAGTGGAATTTCCCATCAAGGCAAGGTTTGGCCCAGAGATGGTTGATATAATTATATATTTTTTTCCTTCCTGAAGACAATCAGATTTCATTGCTATCTGCACTGAGACAACAGAAGTAAATATTCACAGGAACAAAAAAAAAAAAAAGCTAGTAAAACCACATGGCATTACCGTCTGGCTGCTCTCTCCTCAGCTGCTTGGTGGCTGTCTGAGGCAGTGTGAGTTGAAAAAGGTCAGGGTAATCCCTCCTCTCCTCTCTTCTCCCCCTCCCTCCTGAGCCCATCGCTATTAATATTGATTAGTTTAGTGCTGGGATGGCTCAGCGTTTCAGGAAAGGACAGATTGCTGCTGCAGAAAGTGCATCAAGGGAGGGAAATGGGAAAACTGACATGGAAAATGGCCAAAATACTTCTTGATTTATTTTATTTTATTTTATTTTTTAAATTCTTGTTTACCAAGACAAAAATATTGAAGTTTTCCTTCCTCTCCTTCTTTTCCAACGCTGAGGTTCAGAGTTAAGGTGAGGTTTGGAGTTTATTTAAGGGCTGCTGCTGCCAGGTTAGTTTGTGGGGAGATTTTTAGGTATATTCAAGCAACGTGCCTGGGATTGTCCCCCACCCCAGAAGCACACACTCGGGATGGTTGTAACCACGGCCATGGTACGATTGCTGCAATCGAGGACCAAATCTGAGATAGGCATGTCCTGAGCACCACGTTGGTGTCCAGGAATGTGTCCTGGAGGGAAGTATGATGAATCTTTCATTTGGTCCCATTTTGGAGGCGTTTGCTGGTGCTTCTCTCAGCCCAATGGCTTTGCAAGCCAGACCAGGCAGCTGCTCATGACCAACCTTCCTGCCTTTGCTGTCCTGCCTGCGTGGACGTTCCCTGTACTCCATCCATCCCCATGGCATGGACCACGTTGGACTTGCTCTCAGGGAACCTCTACAGTTGCAGTGAAGTGATAATATGTTGTAGGTGCTGAGTGATGTAATTTTAGGAAAAAACCTTTAAAATGGCTAATAGCCCTTGGGTGTATTTGCAAGACAGATTTTGTGTTAGATGTGGGCACCACCTGTAGGCACCTCCTAGACCTGTGGATCCTGAGGGCTGTGGACATGTCTGTGATGTGCCATGGCTCCAGCTACACTTTGCAGCACAAAACTAAATTGGGGAATGATTTTTCATGGCCCTTGAGTTTGGGAGGGAAGGGTTGTGTGTATCCTCCTAGATGCTGGTGTGGATTTCCTCTTGTGTAACTTTGGATGTCTGCAGCTGAAATACTTGTCTAGACTCCACGAGAGTCAATAGGGAGGCAACTAAGTTGGGATACAATTAATTGTGCCCTAGGAGTATCTGGGTTTCTCTACTGACTGTTAAGGGAGCCTGGACAAGGAGCTCAGGGAGCTGGAGATGTCTGCCAGCTGACTGGGAGCCCTGGGAAGGTGCTGTGGATTTTTCTGTTGGCATAATAGGCTTAAGTGGAGTGTGTTTGAGTTTGACGTGTGAGCATGGAGAAAATAGATGTGTTTTAAGGACAACTTCTTCCAAGTTGCGCTTAAATTAAAATAATGAATATAAATGCAGAAAAAAAAAAGATTGTTTTTACTCATCAGCATTCATAAATAGTGGTTCCTTTCCACCCAGTGATTCCTTCCTTTATCCATCCTGTTTTCTGTATCTTCAGAGAGCGCAGGGGTCGCTGCATACCGTGGCAAACGGTGCTCTAAAAGCACTTTTTATGCAGCTGTGTCTGTGGTATCTGAGGTTAAGGAGAGTGGAGAACCACAGTGGTGGAAAAACCTGCAAAACACTGCTCAGCTGGAGCTCCAAAGAGATGATCTTGGGTCCCACTGAGCTCAGCCTTGTGCAAACCTGCCTGTGCTGCTTTGGGACCTAAAATTGTCCTGGCACTAACACAGCTACATTTTTGTTATGCTTTGTGCAGGCTGGCTCAGTTACCTCTGCATCTGCACTGACTGTCCATGCACAATCCATCTGTGTGTGTACCAGTCATATTTAATATCAGGACTCGGTTCCCTTGCTTCCATCCCCTTACTCCAACCAATTGTCAAAAATAGAAAGCTGTGTTCTTGACTGAAAACCCCTGGGAATAAACAGGAAGGAGGCTGCTGGGTGACTATTTGGTGTAATCTGTAGCTGAGATTTGTTACTGAAGAGTCTTAGTGTCTGTTTAAAGAGAGAGCATTAATCTCTTCTCGTCAGGCTGGACACCAGATTTAGAAGATCAGAAGGTCAGAAAAGACTTTAAATCACAATCTGAATGATTCATAAATTCAGACAGTTAATGAGTTTCAATTTTTAAAATATAGGTCCAGTTTTATAAGTAACAGAACTCTTACCAAGAAGAGAGATTATAAGGGGAAAACCTCTTAAACTTCTAGGCTGTCAGAAATTATTTCAGATGGAGAGAGCAAACAACAAAGTGTTTGGGACAGCAAAGCAGAAGACTCTCACTTCTGGATTTCTGGGTACAGTCATAGGTTTGGCCCCCAGCATCCACAGCAGAGCTCAGGCTTCTCTAAACATGCTAAGACAGAGTGGGCATGCTGGATTTTTCACCATCATCATTTTAATCACCTGATTTATTGGCACACCTAGTATTAAAAACAGTTTGGGATACCTTGTTTGGGTTTTTTGGCTGAAGGTGATCAGGTTTTTAAAGGATATTGGGTTGGGTTTCTGAGGAAGATGCAACAGTATTAGTTCACATAAAATAATGATGAGAAATCACACGTTCTCACTCTCAGTTCAAATCAGTAGATACTCATCTCTGTAACAAACATCTTGACCATTGCATAAAGTGCCTCTCAAGTTTCTGTAGCTTCCAAGTATGGTACTGTTGGATTCAAGCCTCATGTTTATGTACCCGGTGCAGGACTGACTGCTGTACGCAGTTTCCATATGGAATGTTTTGAGTTTAGCCTGAGGGCATTGTACAGTGCATTGAGGCTGGTCACGGGAGGGGAAGATGGGTAAGTGATATTTTACTCAGATGCTTTTTCCTCTCACTGGGAGCTGAGATCTTCTTGCTATATGAGCAGCAAAGCTGTTCTTTGACAAGTTTTTAATGGCAGGATTTCAGAGTTACCACCTTCAGGAAGGGGAACATGGCAGTTACCTGGCCTTGGGATGATTGTGGTAGCAACAAACCTCAATGAACTTTGAAGTGCACAGAGGCAGCTGAATGATCCAGTACCTAGAAACGAGAAAAGCCAGCAAGAGCAAGCAAACTATAGGATCTTTAGAGATCCTATACACATAAATCATGTAAAGCCATATCAATATGGCTGTGTCTGAAAAGCTACCTCAGATACCATGGAAATTGCATTTTATTTCAATCTGCTGCCAAAGGATGAAGGGCTGAGTCAAACCCGGCAGGGCTGACACCTCTGATGCCAGTGAGTCACCCACCACTGACAGCATTAAACCATGCCTGGCAGCGTAAGCCACCGAGTGTCTGTCAGACACCCACAGAGAAACACAGGAAAACAAATACTTGCTACCAGGACACAGTACTAGGTGAGAGGAAATATTTAAAGGGAGCTCAAGTGCAAAGGAAAATTCAGAGAGGAGTCTGAAGAGTGAGGCTGGGAGGTTTGGAGCCTGCTGCCACTCAGCTTTTTCCTTTGGCTGTTGTCACTTGGGAGGAGCAAGCCCAGCCTGCGTGGGACTGGGGCTGCAGGGACATATAGAACCATAAATGGT